ATCTGCGTCTCTTCCTTGTTAGCTAACTGTGTACATTGCCTTCAATCATTTGTCAGTTTCCTAAATCAGCCATTAAAAATATAAGAACCTCTGCTCTAAATGAATCTTCAGAGAAAGCTTGTAAAGCTGCATTTTCTCCGTTTCATAATGACTCAGTGTAAGAAAGCGCATTGAAATCCATTAACCAATGCAGCCATCCGTCGGCCAATATCAGATCAGTACTGGCCCGTTCAGTTTATCACCTAATATCTCACCGCGACCCTTCGATGAAGAAACGGTGTCACATTAACCTCAAAAAGGATTCAGAAATGTGTTTAGGCAGCTGCAGCAGCACGGGGAAACGCTACGGCTCTCAGAGATATCACTCAATATAAATAACGTGCACTTGTAAAGGTTTATACTGTATTTCAGATTTCTTAAATCACCCTGCGACCTCTTTAGAACCTCCTCTGAGGCTGATGTCCTGCCCACCCGGCTGAGAACCCTCATCTCTACGCGGTATGAAAGGCTAAATGGCGATGCATTCACTGATGGGGCACCGACTGCTCAGCTAAAGGTGAATGGGCAGGCGAGGCTGTCACGGAGCTGGAGACCTCTCAAACTCTGGCAGATTTTCATAAGAAAAGGCCATTAGTATGAGTGCAACGGCAAGCACAAAAATTGATTTGGCCTTTCGCTCCACAACCTTCAGCGCCGACCTTCGAAATACCTGAGGGGGGGGCTAACATCTGAGGAGGAGGGGGTGGCGGGGAGAAAGTGTTGAAATTTGTAATTGAGGACAGAGCAGCAGCGGGGAAGGGAGGCGCAGGGCTGAAATTAGAAATGGAGGGGGAGGTAAACAAACTTTGTTAGAGTCGTGGGGATTTCTTGGCTCGGCTAAAAGTCTGAGAGCGGCGCAGGACGAAGGTGCCGACTCCTTCACGAGGGCGCTTCGGCCGGCCGGCGTATCTCGTGCTCCACATCTAATCTGTGACCTTTTATTTGCAGGACTTTACAGAAGCTGCAGCTTCTAAGGTCAGGATGTCTTTTCTTCCTCTCCTCCCATCTCTCCGTTCTTCCTTGCTTATACTTCTTCCATTTTTTGGCTTATTTGCCCACGCTGTCTGCTCCTATTGGCTCTAATAGAGGCCCAAAGCTTCCAGTGTGACAGATATAATCAGGTTTGGAAGAACAGCTTTCGCCTGCGGGACAAATGGAGGGAGAAGGGGTGGGAGCGAGGAGACAGAAGAGCTGGAAATTGTGATGGGAAGTGTGAGAGGAAGATGAGTAGAATGATTTAAAAAAAAAAAAGAAGGCATGTCAGAAGAAGAAGGAGACGAAGAGGAAGAAAAGGTGAGGCTGAAACGGAAAGCACCGACTCCCAAACTCACGTTAGATTAGAAGGAAAAAGCCAACCTCATAAACCAGGGGACTGACCCAGCGGGTTTATTTCAGCTGTCACATGAAATCTGCGTCATATTCCCTTAAACTTCCAGACAGAACGCACGCGGCGCCCGGTTTCTTCAGAGAGCCACATCGAGTTCAGCAAACGGCCTAGATCGCTCATCCGTAAGCTGTAAAAGAACATTAACGCTAATGAAACACTAAACAGAAGCTCCCACCGAGTATGAAATAAACTGCTTGGAACTTCTGCGAATCATTCACATCGCTCCCAAAATTCACCTCTGACATTTTTGTGCCGCATGTGCAGGAAAACATCTTTCCAAAGTCGGATTGTGTGCAAATGTGCCGAGTTTTACTGAGGCGGTTTAAAGTAAATTAGCGTGCCGCTCGTTGCTGGGGGAGCTTGATTGATATGATCTGATGTGACTTGACAGGGGTGGAAGAAAGGAGAGGCTGAGGGGGGAAGGATGTGCAGGGCAGAGATCGGACTTAAAAGCAATGGAGATACGAAGGCAGGGGGAGGGGAGGGGGTAAGCAACAGGATATGAAAGGCTGGAAGGTGATAGGGAGAGGAGGGAAGTTTAAAAGTGATAATTAGGGAGAAGAAGAAAGATGGCGAGGGGCGGAGGAACAGCAGGAAGGTGACGAAGAGAAGAATGGACGGCATGAAGGAAATATAAAGATTTACCCCAGAGAGACGAGTGGATGACGAGGAGGGATGGAGGGATGGGAAGCTGAGGGCGATGACGTCAAGCGTGAGAGAGGGTGGAGAAAGGGTGGAGGAGAGAAGGAGATGAAGAAGGAGGCAGGAGGTAAGGAAGATAAATGGAATTAAGGGAACAGAATGAATAACTGGGACAAGAAGAGGAAACAGAAAGAAAAGAGAGAGGAGGGCAACGCTGCACTCAGGTATGAGGCCACATATTACAGAAAATTGGCTATTGTGGAAAATGCGGTGCAATTAAAAAAAGGGCATTTTGCTGTGAATGGCCTCAGAAATGTGGCGCCTCGGGACAGGTTCTGAGCAACGGCGCACGCGTGCTTCATTTCCCGGACATATTTTTTAGTGATTGTTCTTTAGAGTTCATCTGCAGTTGGCCTATTCGCTCAGCACGAAGCATTTGTAACCAGCACCCACCCAGAGGCGGTCCGTTTTTTGTGTCTGCACATGCTGAAGGTTTGGGGCACTTTATTAAGAGTCTTAGCCATGGACCGGCATCATCAGAAGGGCGTGTGATGGGTCTCAACTCCCCCTGCAAAATGAGCCCAAACATCCAGACAGAGCCATAAAGAGGAAACGTCAGCCGCAAGAAGGCCAAGACGTCCTGCAACAGGTGCTCATGCCGTCACACTGCAGCTTTGACATTCCCCCACTCCCACTCACAGAAGGGATTTGAAACTGTGTTCAACTGTCCAGCTCGCTGAAGAGCAGTCCAGCCATCAGCAGAGTGGTTTTCACCTGTTCTCTCCCCTCCATTTGAGCTGTTGTCTTTTACACGTGAGAAGCAGCAACATCACACTATGTGAGGATCCGATCCTCCTGACACCATCCAGAGTCCACATGTGAAAACAGCCTGAGAGATGCCAAACCCACGAGGGATGATGCTGAAGAATCTCACTCAACAATCAGCACGAATGACCCGCACACCTGCTTTTTATTTATCACTATGTGTTAACAGACCTCTCTGCATTGAATCATATCTGTTATTAACCTCTGGCTCTCTTCCACAGCATGTCTTTATCCTGTCTTCCTTCTCTCACCCCAACCAATCACAGCAGATGGCCCCGCCCCTCCCTGAGCCTGGTTCTGTCGGATGCTTCCTGTTAAAAGGGAGTTTTTCCTTCCCACTGTCGCCAAAGTGCTGCTCATAGGGGGTCATATGATTGTTGGGTTTTTCTCTGTATGTGTTATTGTAGGGTCGACCTTACAGTATAAAGCACCTTGAGGCGACTGTTGTTGTGATTTGGCGCTGTGTAAATGAAATTGAATTTCATTTCCTTTAAATGACTGAAGCTGATCCACTCCACTGTGTCCACATCACAGTATTGCTTCTTGTGAGGTTTTCCAGTGGAGTCTGATTTACTGCCGAACTACATTTAGTATTGACAGACGAGGTTAGGGCTGCACCTTTCAAAAAAAATCTCCAAAACTTGGAAACTCTGTTAAATCACAACGTAAATGTGTTTATTTCCACGACACGGTCACTTAAAAACGACAGCATGCCGGCCAAATAAGAGCTGGACTGAAGCAGCCTCGTACTCCACTAAAACCTGGACATGGTCTTATTCATCTCATACTTCACTCACAGAAGTCATTCAAATTTGCAGGCTATAACCAGAAACCCTTCAGCAGCTACCCCGCTTTAAATCAGAGTCCCTCTGAGTCTTTTTTTAAACTCCCCAAAGCTTTTTGGCCTCTGATACTTGCTCTGTGGTGTGTGAGTGATGTTCTCCTGCGAGTGCCGTTTTGCTTGTTTTGCATGTATTCCTCTAGTTTGGACATACTTCTCCTGCTTGTTATTTATTCCCGCTGTCAGTTGGCATGAAGCATCCATGATTTCATGATACATGTGCAATGACAATGAAGCTATTCTATTCTATTCTGAGCTTCTACTTTAAACCTGCCGAACCAATCACAGCCGCAGCGTCACGTTACGCGACTTGTTACGTGACTTGTTACATACAGCACAAGTGCCAAACCACACATGTGTATTTGTTTGGGAAGCAGCCAGCCGCCGTGCTGCCCAGGTAATGGAGGAAAAGAGTGAGCCGACTAGAGAAAAATCAACCGAGAGCGTGACCGAAGGTTACCGAAGAGAAAACAGATGATGGTTCCAATGCCGGAGAGATTGTTGAACGGAAGAGCCACAGAAGCTCCGTAGTGTGAAGGTATTTCTGCTATTTCAAGTCAAACAGAGTAGCGTGCACTGTAAATTGTGCCGAAAGCAAGTCTGGAAATACAATAAAGTCAGTCTCTGACTGGAAGCGCTGATTCGTCATTCGGCTTTTGTCAGACTAAAGTAACTGTTACAACTGTTTGAAAAGCTCAGCTATACAACAAGGAGAGATTGAGAATTTCCTTTTAGTTCTCAGTTTATTTGATATTGACAAAAGTTAGTCAGTTTTGTCTGTTCTTCTGTAAAACAAACTAAGATTTATTTGTAGAATTAATATTTTGTTTCTAAGTGGAATTGACAATTTAGTCTGTTTCGTTTGTTCTATTTTGAAACTTAAACGCTTTAGCGGCTGCCTTTTGTGTAGTTTGCAATATTTGCCTTTATTTATCTGAAAAAGTCTCATGTTCCTTAAGTACATCTACCCTGTTGAACTTATTATGGGAAATAAATATTTAAATAAAACAAGCTGCTGATTATTTCACATTTTACTTGTGAGCAACGGCACATTTAAATCTTACAAATATAGTTATTTGGCTTATATCGTGATAGATATCGTTATCGCCTGAAATGAAAAAAACATATCGTGATATGAAAAAATCTCATATCGCCCAGCTCTACCTGAACATAGGATTTTAATAAGCTCATAAGTAAGACCAGAATGTATTTAAAGTGAGACGTCTTGGCGTGTTTGATCAAACGTGGTGCGATTGTGCGACTCACCTTGACGATATCACCCAGGTAGACATCCTCCATCTTGTTTGGCACCTTCATCCGGAAAATCCGACCCACCACCGCTGAAGAGTCGGGGAAGGCTGTGGGCGTAGCTGCGTTTTGCTGATTTGCTGCCGTTTCGCCAACGTCCACCGCCGCCACGCCCTCTGTCACTTCCTGGAAGTCCTGCAAGAGCGAGGAGTGCATGGAGGCCTCGAGCTCGCCTCTGCCTCCGTCAAACCTCTCGCTTTCTCCGCCCGCTTCTATCAACACCATGCCGCCAAGCACGTCGATGTCCAGCTCCGCAGCCACGGCCACGGCGAGCAGCACGCCCAGCAGCACGACTCTAGTCCTGGGTAGTCTCACGTCGAGGCCGTTGCTCAGCCCGAGCCGGCCCAAACTTTGTTTATCGCGCATTCTTCACCTTTTGTCGAACCGTCACTGATGCAGATAATAAAATAAAAAGGAGGATGTCCGAGTGGGAGGGTGGGGGGCTCAGGGGGAGCATGCACCCCCGACAGACAGAGCAAATCCCTCTTTACAAATCTCCCTCCCTCTCCAGCGCCAAGGAAGAATCTTCTCTTTCTTCTGTTCCTCCTCCTCTTCTTCACTCGGCTTTATTCCTGCTCCTCTCCGTCTTTTGTGCTCGCCCCTCAGAGGGTTACGAGTCCCATTGTGCCGAGCACCTTCGAGATCTGTGAGGAAACACAAGAAAGGCACAGTTAGACGAGCAGTTTGAACACAAGGGGCGAAAAACACTCAGCGCAACCCGAACAGGCCGAACTCAAAGCTCACACTCCATCAAAAGTCAATCTCACGACAAGTTCGGCACCTTAAACCGATTTGTGCGACCCAAATCTCATTGCTGATAGAAATCCATCATGGACTGCACGGAGGGTGTAAGGAGGAATAATATTATCAATGCTGGGGAGTAATCTGATTAGTTCTTACAGACACACACACACTTGAATCACTGATTGCTGAGTTATCCAACGAGTCGAGTCAGGAGTATGAAAGCGCTGAGAGAAAGGAGGGAGAGGAGGCTGAGATGGATAAACCAAGAGGGGGAGGTGAAGGTGATATACGGTGGGACCTTGGATTAGCCAACAATGCCAAACCAGTCAAAGCCTTCTTGGAATTGCTAATGAATGCATGCCTTCTCTATTGTGTGCAGGGTCAGACTGAGTGTGTGTGTAGGTGTGTGTGTGTGTCCATTGTGAGCGTGGAGGGTGAACTCAGAGGTTGTTATTCATACAGCTCTTTCATGGCGGAGAGGATCCCCTCCTGAGCGTGTGTGTGTGTGTGTGTGTGTGTGTGTGTGTGTGTGTGTGTGTGTGTGTGTGTGTGTGTTTGTGACAACACAAATGATTTCCCCCGAGTGCTTTCATTAGACAGAAAGAGGGCGAGAATGAGAAAGAGGGACCCCCGCCGTGACTCCACTTTGCCCCGTAGCAGATGCCCGCTGGAGAGAGTGAAATCACCGCAGGACTTCCCCAGCAACAACAACACCCGGCCTCCCAGGTAGCTTTTCAACCAGCTCAAAGGACCCTTTGTTGTCGCCGCCTCGCCCTCGGCGTGCATCACCTTTGGACAAAACTTTGTTTTTAATCAGGAGCGCCACGGTGTCGTTCCCCCCGCTGCTCAAGCTTTTCTACAACGAGTCAACATCCGGAGCGAGGGAAGGAAAAAAATCACTGGAATTTCGACATTTCCTTTGTCAAAGTCGAGTTGCTTTTTCTACTTTTAAATGTTTTCATTTCCACTGAAGCTCCTTGGAATTACTTCTGGAGCGTTAAAGTTTTACTGAGGCTTCTTGAAAGTAGTCCAAGATGGCCACCGTGGATAACCCCCCCCCCCTCGCTTTCACATAGGGTCCCTTCAACTGCAGCGCCAGAGGCAACATCCCTCCCGCTTCCTCTTCCTCCTTATTGCTTTTCTGTGCTGTTCAATCTGTCATCGGTTTCTCTTCGTCTGATTGCCTTCGCTGCTTTTGTCTGTTTCAGGATGTTTTTTGTTTTACATTTTGTCCTCACACGCCTTTCTTCATCTCAAACACTTCCTGTCCTCCCTCCAGAGCATTAAGCTACGCCACGCCTTTTCTCACATCTCCAAAACCTTCAAGGCCATTTTTCTTCTTCTTCTTTTCCCTCCTGGCGCTCACTCACCTATCAAAAACACAGCCTTTCTATTCATCGCATGACAATGGGGCTGACGATGGCGGGGGAGCGTCGCTGTGAAAGCGCCGGCGAGCTGGATGAAGAGAAGCTGTCAGCGCACAGAAAGAGAGGCATGTAGACACAAAGGGCACAGAGAGAAGTCTTTGACTCTGAGCGGGACAGAAAGCTGCCATTACCTCAACACCTACAACACCGCCCCCCAAACATGCTCCACCCACCTCCCGGCGTTGTAGCACAGGTGGGCAGGAAGGTGGGCAAAGACAGCCAAGAAGGGAAGGAAACGGCAGCTCTTGGTTTCAGCATCTCGGGTTTAAATCTGGATTCAGACTGAGAACCTTGTGCTTCCTGATTGGTCAAAACCATCAAAGAGAAGCCTCCCCTCCACATCATCTATATGTTGGGCAAATTGTTTTATTTACTCCAAATAACCATGTAACTTGAACCAGGGTTCATCGGGGTCGGACCGACTGAACCGGAGATGGTGTCGCTCCAGCGCTTGCTGCGTGCTTTCATAAATCAGAGTTCAACACGAAAGCCTTTCTGTGTCTTTATGCAAGCTGCTGATTTTCCTGAAAACAGAACAAAGAATCCTGAAGGTGAATTTATTTCCTTGTAAAACCACAGCAGCTGCAGGATGTAAAGAAATGAGGCAACACTGTGCAAAACCAGCCAAACTAATGCAAGCGTAATGACAGCCGGCTGCTGAGGAACGCGGGCGCATCTCTAAGAGGGATGTCAAAGTAAATCCACTTTTAAAAAGCAAACGTGGAACCGACACTACAAGCCCAAAGCCCAGACATTTATCCAGAAACATTTTGGGTTTTTCCTGCAGTCGATGAGGTTTTCGGTGTAATGTTTACCCAACGCATCGACCTGGAGGTCCGGAGACGATGATCAGAATATCAAAGCACAAGTTTTCTGCTTCTTTGGTCGTTTTTAAACTAACTGCAATAAAACAAACACTCATTTACCGAAACATAGCCCGACATCCAGCCCGCCGCTGCTCAGGGGCCAGAATAAGCATCCAGACCTGGCTCCATCTCCCGCTATTATAAATAAACGGCTAACCGGACACTTGCTGCTGCTCTTCTGAGCGGCAGTGACAGTCGGGGGGGGGGTAACAGAGTAAGAGGGTGTGGACTGGTGAGGGGTGGGATGCAGAACTAAAAGCAGAGCGGGAGTGGGACGTTTGAGAGGTCTGGCAGATGATTCATCATCGGTTTGAGAACAAAATGTGAAATGCTGCCAGTAAAGTCTAAACTTGGAGAGCTCGACGTTAATAAAACGGTGGGTGTCCCTCCCCGCTCTTCTTCCTCACGCTGCCCCCATGGGCAGAGACGGCTTGAGTCTAACCACAAAATATCTGATGTCATCACCTCTTTACGAAGACATGGCTCCTGTGCTGCTCTGTCTGATAAACAGGGACGTCACTGAACCGAGCTGCCTTAAAACTCCTCGTCACTGATTACTGAACGTTTAAGGGATCAGGGAGACGGTGGGGTAGTACTTTCAGTACCCAGCACCATTTGTACAACTCGACTCAGATTTAAAGCCTTGCTCTTACTACAGCTGACCTATTAGCTCCAAACAGAGCCTGCAGGTTCTCAGACAATCTGCCTTTGGAAACCAGGTCGGTCGAGTCCGGCGCTTCTTTCACATCAAAATTTCGAGAAAGCCGTCCTGATTTCACCGGAGCTTCACTTCCTGTAACTTTTATCACAGCTTGTTTTATTTTGAAATTCAGATGAAGCACTTTGGAACGTGGATCTTGGAAAGTGCTTTCAAAATAAAGTCAGTGGCTCCTGTAACCACGGCTACACACACAGATGTGCTATTTTAGTCTTTCAGATTTACTTGAAGCTGTTCTTTGAGGTGTGGAGGGAACCTGGTGAGGATGTTATGTGGATTGCTTGATGCCGTTTGCGTCTCCGGGTCATGGCCCGGCTTTGGCGTGCCCATGGTAACAGCCGGAGGTCTCAAACAGCTTCTCAACAGGGCTGTCTTCTTTATTGGAATCCCGAAGCTTCCGTTTTGCACATTTTACGACATCTATTGTGTTTGAGTTTGTTTTCCCACCAGTGTCGGCGCCAGGATGATCGCAGTGTCATTGCATGTTAAGGTTATGGCTGGGTGGGAGGGTTAGGCAGTATTCAAATAAAAATGAAAGGAAGAACTGAAAACAAGAGCCACTAATTTGTATCAATCTGCTGTAAAAAGATGTGAACCTGCACCGGTTGTCTTCATACTGTCCTCATTAATAAAACCGACTGTGGCTCGTACTTTGAATCGCCTGCAAACATGAAGTCTTAACGTGGAGCAGCGCCTGTCTGAACCTGAGAGGACATTCCTTCGTTGGAAATCCTCGGAGCAACCAATGAGCACACAGAAACGCCACACAGGGGCCAATTAGAGGAAAGGCATCCCTCTGTGGCAGCTAATCGGAGAGCCGGGCGTCTTAGCTGCGGTGAAACATTAGCACTTCAGTGGCACTTTAAATTCTTCCCGTCTCTTCCTCATTCTATGTCCATTTGCCTCCCTCCCTCCCTCCTTCCCGTCACCTTTCAATCCCCCAAAGTCACAGCTGATGCCTCTATTATTAGCACAGACAGGACGAGAGCAGCGTGATAAACAGAACGAGAGGGAGAGCCTCTAAAAATGGCCTCCTTCCTAAGGAAGCTCCCAGACTGACAGGTGACACTGACGCCATTGCGGGACGCAAATATTCCCATCATTCAACGCCCCCCACCTCCCTCCCCCCGCCTCTGCATCCCACTGATACAACAAACCGAGCGGCGGATAGAGCTCCCTCGGGACGAGACAACAGGTTATGTTTGCGCCCAGCGAAACTCGGGATTACGGCGTGGTTTACCTTTACAATGAGATTTGGATATTTAGCACGGAGATTAGGCACATTTCAGCTATTTAAGCGCTTCTTTCATCCAGCCTGATCTGCAGCGTGTAAACAGAGGCAGCTTATTCTTCCGGTGTGAGGATGTAAGGAGTCCACATTGTTCTGTTACAGCGTGGGGGAGAAAGAGAGGGGGACGCGTGTGTCTTTGTGATAATTTAGGCCTCATTATTGGTGACTTATGGATGAGTTTCAAAAGCAGAAGCATCGAGAGCCAAACGGGGACCTCGGTGACTCAACAATCTGCACTTCCTCTAAAATCTGCTGTAAAAAGCATTCAAATTAATCCTCGTTCCCACTCGTAATTACATTTGTAATTAGCTTGGCTCCAACTGGAACAAGAGGAAGAAGCTCCAGCTACAGAATAATAGAAATGCAAATCCACCCTCCGGCCCGCTTCACCATTAGCTGCTGCTAAAGGCGAGCCGATGGGCCATCTGCGAGAACATAAGGCGGCGAGGAGTGCGTCTGTGTGCAGTGCCAACGCTGACCAGCTCGGCCTGAAAACTCTCCCAACAAACCCACAAAACCAACAGAAAGTGTGAGAAAACAAACTTCCACAGCAAGTCTGAAAACACTCCATCAGCAGGTGGTCGGGGTGGATGACGGG